TGGCCAAAAAGGTCATTTGGGTTTTTTCCATCAAATCTTTTTTTCTTACTTTATTTATTTTTAATTGAAGGATAATTACAATGTTGTGTTGGTTTCTGCCATATATCAACTTGGTTCTTTCATAGGTATTCCTACGTCCCCTCCCTCCCATTATATCCTATGGAAAAACCCAAGCAAACTTTTTGGGCAACCCAATAATAGATGTGGGTTAAGTGATTAATTCAATTTGTATTATATATATCATTTGCTATACTCATGTCCTTGGATAGAGTATTTCCCAGAGACCATCCAAGTGATCTTCTCAGCCAACCTGTTACTCTTATTTGGCTTTCCTGCATGTGGGTTTACATCTTCTTCCACTAAAGTTTTAAACAGTCAGTGATTGTTTACTTTGCTTATTATTAGACTTCCTGTGTATTCTTCATGGTAAGATCTTTCAGACAGCCACGTGGGAAGTGATATTTGTACAAGATCACACATAGTGTAAACAAAAGAAAATGTTGTTTTTTTCACATCAGTGTCTTGCTCTTAAGATCCTTTGTGACTGGAGATTTTCTTTTCCTTTTTTAAACAATTGACCCATCCATGCCAATATCTCCTCATTTTAATAAGTTGTGCAGTTCTGTATGTTTTACATATCCATAAATTACACCTTAAAGCAAGATAAAATGGAAATACTGATGTAAATTTGCTGTCATTAAAAAAAAGAAAACATACACATACGCATGCACATATGCAAACACACACAAATTCCACTTACCCGAAAGGTGATAGCGAGAGTGGTGTGAGAGATGACTGGCCTTCTGCCAACATGTTAGTGCTGAGTTTCTGGATGTTGTATATAATTAGAGAGTTTTGTCGTATGAAGACTTTTCATCACTAATGATACTCAAGATTATTTGTCTTTTCCTGAGTATGCCCTTGGAAACATTTGTTTAAAATGGTTAAAGCCAGTGCTTAATGGATAAACAAACTACAGTACACTCATAATTGTGGAATACCATTCAGCAATTTAAAAAATTGCCAGTTTGAATGGATTTCAGAGGCATGGTGCTAAGTGAAGGATGTTCAGTTCAGTTCAGTCGCTCAGTCGTGTCCGACTCTTTGCGACCCCATGATCCGCAGCATGCCAGGCCTCCCTGTCCCTCACAAACTCCCAGAGTTTACTCAAACTCATGTCCATCGAGTCGGTGATGCCATCCAGCCATCTCATCCTCTGTCGTCCCCTTCTCCTCCTGCCCCCAATCCCTCCCAGCATCAGGGTCTTTTCCAATGAGTCAGCTGTTTACATCAGGTGGCCAAAGTATTGAAGTTTCAGCTTCAACATCAGTCCTTCCAATGAACACCCAGGACTTATCTCCTTTAGGATGGACTGACTGGATCTCCTTGCAGTCCAAGGGACTCTCAAGAGTCTTCTCCAACACCGCAGTTCAAAAGCATCAATTTTTTGGCACTCAGCTTTCTTTATTGTCCAACTCTCACATCCATACATGACCACTGGAAAAACTATAGCCTTGACTAGATGGACATTTGTTGGCAAAGTAATGTCTCTGCTTTTTAATATGCTGTCTAGTTTGGTCATAACTTTCCTTCCAAGGAGTAAGCGTCTTTTAATTTCATTGCTGCAGTCACCATCTGTAGTGATTTTGGAGCCCAGAAAAATAAAGCCAGCCACTGTTTCCACTGTTTCCTCATGTATTTGCCATGAAGTGATGGGACCAGATGCCATGATCTTAGTTTTCTGAATGTTGAGCTTTAAGCCAGCTTTTCCACTCTCCTCTTTCACTTTCATCAAGAGGCCCTTTAGTTCTTCTTCACTTTCTGCCATAAGGGTGGTGTCATCTGCCTATCTGAGGTTATTGATATTTCTCCCAGAAATCTTGATTCCAGCTTGTGCTTCTTCCAGCCCAGCATTTCTCATGATGTTCTCGGCATATAAGGTAAATAAGCAGGGTGACAATATACAGCCTTAACATACTCCTTTTCCTATTTGGAGCCAGTCTGTTGTTCCATGTCCACTTTTAACTGTTGCTTCCTGACCTGCATACAGGTTTCAATGTTAGCTAGTGTCAAAGTTTGCACAGGTATGATGTTCTGAAAAAGATGAAGCTGTAGGGTGAGAACAGGTCAGTGACTGCCATGGCGTAGGGAGAGGGGACAGCTGGATCACAGTGGCATCACAGCAGGACTTTTTGGGGGGAGGAGCTGCTCTGAGTCTTAATACTGGTGGTAGTTACACAAATACATACCTGTATTAAAACATCATCATACTATACACACATGTAAGAAGCCAGTTTCAGTATGTGTTGACTTTTTTTAAAGTAAAATTTAAAAAGAAAAGTTACAGTGCTTGATTATGCTTGTTGAGAACAACAACAACAACAAAAATCTCAAGATGGCAGATGCCAAGTATTCCTACAAGAAAAATACTAATTGTAATTTTTTAATGAAAAAATTACCAATTTGTTAGTAGGTTTACAAAAAGCTGCAAATAATGCAGTTTCTGCTCAATGAATAAACGCTTTGTCTCCACGCAGAATGTAAGGAAATGTTCAGTTATATGTCCCCCAGCGGCTGTAACCCGGTCCCTCTTTGCTTCTGTAGCCTTTTCTGTCTTCTTTATGGTGATCACTTTCCTTCCTTGGTGTGTATATACAATGTGTGACAGTTACAGGGGCCATGGGAACCATAACTTTTAAGTTCCGTGAATTTTCTGTGGGTAAAACCAGCCATCATGTTGAATTAATGTCATTCTTCACATTTAATTTCCATGTTATTCTAAGCGGAAGACTTAGCGTGTATCCGAAGGAAAGGCCCTTGATCATTTCTGATAGCATGTAAATGATGGTGGTGATGTGGACTCATTTGTCACTTCATGAACATTATCGTTAGTTGTCACTTCATCAGTTATCATTAAGTGCAGGGAGGCCTCTCTTGGGAGAGTGTGTAGGTGTGCTGATTGAGGAGTGATGCTTCTTAGGGAACATCCTCTCTCCTGTTTGGACATGGAAGATACTGGGCCCCTGTTACTGAGCCATAACCACTCACTCTGAACAGGAATTCTGGTCCCAGCACCAGTGGTTTTGCAGAACTGCCTTCAAATAGGATTGATTCAGTGGGGCATTGATTCGTTTCATGAAACTGGAGACACTGACGGGGTGATCACACACAGATGTTACTTGTTGGTTCTGCACATGAAGAGCTGATCGGGCCATTTTGGTTTTGCAGATCAGGCAAAGGAGGAATTGCTGAGCTTCCAGGAGATGACCGTGGGGGATGCAGTAGTGTAAAAGGCATGAGGAGACATTTTCTGAACTTGAGAGAGTTGAGTTTGGAATATTGATGGTCCTCATAAAGCAGCCCGCAGTCTATCCTGTCTCCCTCTCCTGGGTGTCATTTTACACGTAACACAGTAGATATTAACCAAGTGGGAACCAGTCGGGAGGTGACCAGAGGCCCAGCTGCTCCCTTCCTTGTCTACTGCCGGGATCAAGCCCACACTGGGAGAGATGGGTGGTCGTGGTCCTTCCACAGCTGAGGCTTCCAGTGACTGAAGTGCTGGGGTCCTTAGAGCAAGGTCCAAGTGCCTGCCATCACCCTGGGTCCTGAATGAAATGTATTCACAGTTGAGAGACATTTGACTAAGACTGGGAGAAAGAGGCAGGTGTGATGAGAGAAACTCAGTTGCAAACATCTATAGGAGCACCCCATGCTCACTGCTGAGGGCTTATGAGGCCCCATGTGACTTGTGATCGGGGCTCATTCCTGCCTCGCCACAGCACTTAGTGGGGACAATGTGTGCTGAGGGGGTGGACCAGAAAGCCCTGACTTGTTTTCAGTCCTTGGTCAGCCCTCTTAGCATCTGAAGAAATGCCCTTTTGCTCTAGAATCCAGGTTCTGTTGCTGCCTAAGCTCCACTCGAGAGAAAGAGAGGGAGAGAGAGAGAGAGAGAGAGAGACAGTGTCTTGGAAGGTAGTCTGCCTTCCACTCAGGCAGGCTCTCTGAGTTGAGTCTGCTGTGCCAAGGATCAATGATCACAGCGCATCCGGTCCCTACCTTCACCCCTGCAGAGCTTCAGGGTCATCTGAGCAATCTCTGCAGGACTGCTGCCTGTGTCTAAATTTACTCACAACTTCAGAGTTACTCAGCCTTGTTTGGAGGGAGAAATCTCATATTTTCCCACAGGAAATGAGCCCCAGCTAATGTGTCCAACAAGTGGGGACACACCCCAAGTGCTGGGAGGCCTTTTGCTCATTTCCCTTCCACTCTCTGTGCCTTTTCATGTAGGCATCTAGCCTCACATCGAGCCCAGAACTTCATAAAATCCCAGAGCTCCTGGGGACCTCACATTTGTGCATAAAAACCTGGTAAGACTGCAGATGTCTACTGTGTCCCATACTTACTGCTGAGCCAGACTCACTTCATTGCCCAGTGGCATCATTTCCTGGTTATTGGAGGCATATTTAAATTGGGAAATACAGACACCTCCCCATCTGAGATCATTTGTTGAAAATCTGCATTTTCTTATTGGTTCTTGTTCATGAGATTATGGTTGAGGAAGGTCTTTGTGATCATGTTTGAAATGGGTCCTACCTGACTGATGAGCTTAGGTCTCTGGTACCTGTTCTGCCCTTTTCTCGTTTATGGCCGGGGTCCAGGCAGGCCCCTGATGCTCCTGCCACCTCCTCTGGGACAAAGCTGCTGGTACACTGATGCCTAGCATGAACTACAGATGTGCTGGCCGCCCCACAGGAGAGGAGAATCGGCCTTATCTACACGCTGATCAGTGACTAAAAGGGCAGAGGCTATAGCCTCATGGACTCCAGTGAGTCAACCTTTTACTGCCGAGACTAACCACATGCTCTGGAAGGCAGCCTACACATCTGAAACCGAGTATGCAAGTGGCAGCTTCAAACCTGTTAAAGGATATCCTCGTGGGTGGATATTCTTTTGCTTTTTTAAAGCAGGGTTGTTATTCCTTTTTTTCTTCTTGTTGACAGGAGCTCTGTGGAAGTGGTGATCTGAATGCCGCTCTGACATCTCAGCATTTCAAAGAGCAATCTGTAAGTGACATTCCTTAAAAACAAACACTAAGTACTATAAATATTTCCTGTCAAATGTTTGGATCTTTGCCTCCTTTTATTTCTAAAGGATGTGGAACTGTAGTCACCCGCAAAGACAGACCCTGCAAATTGTGGCTGGAAAAGATGAATTCGGTTTCTATTGATTTGTCAGAGTGGAATAGATTCTTCTAAAAATACAAAGCCTTGAGAATGAGGGAGATGGTACAGAAGACAAAGCCATTTTGAAGTGCTTTGAAATGTGGGCCAAGAAACTTTCAAAAGAAGGCTGTTGAGAGTGACTTAGCCACAGATCGATTAATTGAAAGTTAAATAAGTGAACAACACATCATTTTATCTGTAGGTTTTCTTTCGAGAGGCACACCTTTGCTCTTTTCAAAACCTGAATTGGATTCGTTTAAGAAATATTCAGAAACAGACTCAAATTTGATGTAATTGCTTATAGAAGTTGATGTGTTCCTGGAGAGGGAAGGGAACTTGGGAGAGGTGAGACTGTGTTTAAGTGTAGGAAGCACTATAATGAGGCTCAGGGGGTGAAAAAAAATATGCCCCAGAGAGGACGTGTCTCCCATGGGGACCCAGGGAGGGATATGTGTTAGTGGCCATGGATCAGGAGGCTGTCATCTGAGTCGTTGTGAACTAGAATCTTTCTATTACACGTGAACTGGTGGGGGTGGGTAGGAGAGGGGAAAAAAGGAGCGAGACACCCCACATCTGAGCATGGAGGTGTGGAGCCCGCCTCATGGCTGGATGTCTGTGTGCTGAGTCCTCTCTGGGTGATCCACTGGAAGCTGTAGGATAAAGGATCCTGCAGGACATGAGTGAGTTTAAGGGGATGTCATATGTCAGCATGCAACTCATCTATTAATACTCCTTCTTGAAAAGTTAATATTGCAAAACTCTTTTCATGAATTCTCATAGAATCCTTCTGGGGAGAAAGATAAAGAAGAGGGTAAGCATGTCATCAATGTAGGTGTGGGTGGAGTATGCTAGATTTGCCATGATTGCAAGCATCCTTTTTCCTGAAATGAAGCATTCCCACATTCTGTTTCTCGGGCCAAAGACAACTGACTTCACTTACTTCTCCATCTGTGCAGGGTCTCAGGGAAGCTGGCGATGGCTTGAGTAACCTGCCCAGCCCTTTTGCCTACCTTCTCACCATCCACCTGAAGGAAGGTCGGAACCTGGTGGTCCGGGATCGCTGTGGTAAGGCCTGGCCCTGTGTGCCATTGGTAACCTGGGGACCTCTTCCTTCCTACCCTCTGTCAACCCTGCGAGTCAGTCTTTTCTGTCTCAGCACGGCTGGTGCTAGACTGGAGCTCTCGATCTCAATTTCTCCAGGTGTCAAGGTATTTGCCGTGAGTTATTGATACACATAAAATCTTACCATCCTTTTCTCTGATTAAATCAATAATAATCAACAAGTATGAATAATCACATAAAATTGTAGAAGAAAACATCACTTCAAGTGCTTTATGGGGCTTCTCTGGTAGCTCAGTGGTAAAGAATCCACCTGCAATGTAGGAGAGGTAGGTTTGATCCCCTGGGTCAGGAAGAGCTCCTAGAGAAGGAGGTATCTATTTTTCCTTTGTTGTCCTTTTTCATTTATTTTGTCTAGAAGCTGCAGTCTTTTTGTTCTAAAGAGTTTTGTGTCTTTCTTTGGGTTTTTGCCAGCCTCAACCAATCTTTGCCAGTTCCTCTCTACTCTGTTTTGGAACAACTGTGAAAAGGGTCACCCTTCCGTCTGTCTTCTCTGTCTCTTATCTTTTCTTTCTCATTCTTGCCATTACTTTTTTTTTTTCCAGGAAGAATTCCTTAGCTGGGCCTTCCCGCTCACTCATTTTCTCATTAATTGTTATGAGCATTGTGCTACTCTGTTCATCTTTTGAGTTGTCTTTTTAAAAACAAATTTTAGAACAGTCTACGTTTGTTTCGGGCTTCCCTGGAGGCTCAGTGGTAAAGAATCTACCTGCAGTGCAGAAGACTCAGGAGACGCGGGTTTGATCTCTGCCGGGGTTGAGAAGATCCCCTGGAGGAGGGCGTGGCAGCCCACTCCAATTTTCCTGCGTGGAGAGCCCCATGGCCAGAGGAGCCTGGCGGGCTACAGTCTGTCGGGTTGCAAAGAGTCAGACACGACGGAAGTGACTTAGCACACACAGCATGTTTGTTTCATGTGTAAGATACTGCGGTCAGCTTTGAGAGCATTAAGTGTACATTAAAAATCTCCTGCTTGCTGCTTTCTTCCTTGGGTATCCTTTTTGTTTTCCACTCCTTTTTTTATGTGTCCCTGTTGCCGTCTGTAGATGCTGTTTTTGTGTACTGTGTCCTGTCTTCACGGAGCAGCATTGGAACATGCATCTGGACAGGGAGAGCCAGTCATTGAGGCCAGCTCCTTCCCACCCGTCCCAGTTAGCAGCAGCTCCTGGTTATCCCTGGTCATGGAAGGCCTTCCTCTCTGCCTTCGTGCCCACGCTCACATTCCTGCTTGCAAGTCACTGCTGGTCACTGCTCGGCCCCAGAGGGACAGGGCGGTGCTGGCCCACCCCGCTGCTGTGTGTGTGTGCCAGCCAGTCACGCTGGTACTTGCTCGGGCCATCTTCTGCTTCCTGCCTCTGTTGCCTCGACGCTTGGAGCATCCCTGGTCCTCCTGCCATGCTATCCTCTTGCCTCACCTCTGTCCCTGAAACTTTTTGTGCTGTGACTTTCTTTTTACTGCTCCCATTTAGGAGTGTGGTTTCGTCCATCAATCTGAACTGACATCCATCTTTTAGGGTGGAGTTTTTTAAAACAAACAACATTTTAAAACAAAATTATCTTTCTTTTTGTAATTTCTCAGGATTTCAAACTAGCAAACAAATCTCATTTTCTCTTTGCTGGGAAATAGTGTTTTCTGTCAAAGTTATAATTTCTTATCTACGAATTGTGCAACTTCTTGGGTAGTGGTGTTGTAAACTCTTTATTATAAATGTCTGTGCTGTATTAGGTAGCTCTCTTAAGGTTATTTTGAAGGGTTTGGGGCAGATGGCATTTTGCACCTGGAATCACATCTGAGGGACACGATCATAAACCAGAGTCAGGTAATTGCCCACCCACGAATATCCCAACTCTTGTTGAGAACCCACAGTATCTGGTGGATGCTTCCATGAAATGGTGGTCATTTCAGAGCTTGACTGGGGACACCTCATCTGCACCTTAGAAATATGTTCCACCAAGAGTTCATTTAACCTGACTGGAAAGAAAGTGCTGTAAACTTTAAAATACTTGTCCTGTTTTGAATTTTTGAAACACTTCAAAAGTCTGTCACTTTGGAGATGTGCCCAGACCTTGGGCTTCTTCCAGGACCAGCTCCCCCTTTCCCAGTTTTGCCATCTGTTCTAGCTGTTGTATCCCTTATCTTTGTGAGTGGTCTGGCCACACCACTCTTGCTGAATAACGCTGGTACACTTATAGCAGACACCCAGGAGATGCTCAGTAAACTTGGCAAATGATGGGGAATCCATTGCCTGCATCAGAGAATGACCGAAACAATAAGGTTTATGTGTACCTCCTCCACACCTCACTGCTTCAGGGCCAAAGGAGAGGCTGTGGTCTGTGCTCTAACCCTATCATAGTCATCTCTGTCTTTATGGTTTCATCAGAGCTAAACATCATATGACAGGTTGGCTTTATCTTTTGTACACCTAATATAATCCAAATATAAATACCTAGTAAGGAGTCTAGGTCATAACCTGTTCTAGCACCTGTGTCTTTTATAACCGGTAGTAACTGTTCCTGTCTCTTTTATTTATTGGGAAGATTAATCATTATCCATTAAGAAAACATCCCCTCCCAGAAAGTGTTTGTGACTGCATTCATTACTGCTTGCTTTTCGCAGGTATTAGGGTGTGATCAGGGCATGCTGGCTGCCCACTGTTGATTTCTGTAGGGATCACAGTCTTTGGCATCTGTGCCCTGCCTCCTTTGTGTGGGGTTGACGGGTCTTATCACTCTGACAGTGTTTTCCATGGAGCCCAACTCAGAATTTTATCCATTGCAGTCCTTTGGACCAGTAGTTTTCAAAATTGAGTGAACGTCTGAACAGCCTAGAGGACTTGTGAAAATACGCCTTGCCCACCCGCAGAAGTTTATGATTCAGTATGTCTGATGTGGTGCCAGAGTACTTATAGTTCTAACAGGTTCCCAGGCGATCACAACACAGCTGGTCCAGAAACCACGCTGTGAGGACCACTGCTCTAGGCAATGAGCCGTGGCAGGCGAACAGAAACATGTGCTTCTCCTGATAGGGAGCATTTCAGTCCTCTCTTAGACATAGCGTCCTCTTTTCCTGGGGCTGGGCCTCATTATGTGTTTGCTCTCTAACTTAATTTGTATTCTCTGAACATAATTTAATTTGGTATTCACCTAATTAACATAATTAGGTGCAAAGAGCATTGTGATGTGCTGAAATTTACACTATGTATTCTGTATCCCTTGGACTGCAAGGAGATCCAACCAGTCCATCCTAAAGGAAATCAGTCCTGAATATTCATTGGAAGGACTGATGCTAAAGCTGAAAACTCCAATACTTTGGCCACCTGATGCGAAGAAATGACTCATTGGAAAAAACCCTGATTCTGGGAAAGATTGAAGGCAGGAGGAGAAGGGGACAACAGAAGATGAGGTGGTTGGATGTCATCACCAACTCGATGGACATGAGTTTGAGTAAACTCCAGGAGTTGGTGATGGACAGGGAGGCCTGGCATGCTGCAGTCCATGGGGTCACAAAGAGTTGGACACGACTGAGCAACTAAACTGAACTGATCACATGGACTCTGATTTTCTGAATATAAGATCAGTAGCTGATTTTTTCAATACTAAATGTCCTTCAAGATCTATTCAAATGTAACTTCTATCTAGTCTTTTATGTTTTTCACAGACACAGGCTCCTTGTCATCTCAGTGTTATGAACGTTTACCTCTACAGACCATACACCTTTGCCCTTAGTGGGATAAGTGATTGATCCTCCCTGTTAATATTGGTGCTGCATTAGCAGGGTGACCATTTTATTTATCTTCATATGTCCTGCAGTGCCATGTGTTGTGTGCACTGTCATGTCCAACTCTTTGCAGCCCCATGGCCAGACTGGTGGTTTATACACACAGTGCTTCTAATGCATTTTAGTTCTTCATTAGGGAAATCCCTGGCCTTAAAGACAAGGAGCATTAAAGACTACCATGAAAGGGAAAACATCTGCCCTGGAAGGAATAGAATTCCTTCATTCACTCCTTGATTCAGCGAGTGTTTATTTGGTTCCTTCAATGACATGAGCATCACACTGGAACTTGACTGTGACCTGGTGATAAAGTCTGGAAAAAAAAAAGATAAGACATATATACAATTTTAAAATGTCACACAGATCACCAGCTTCAACCCATTTAATAGGAGTCCTAGTTCAGGTGACTGAGGTACAGAGACTTCATCGGGGACTTGCAGGGAGGCAGTGGCTGGGGCAGGTCTTGGCAGAGTGGGTGGCTCTGGATCAAGTAGAGGACTGTGACATGACAGTCCACTTCCTGGCTTGTGACTTCCTATGGCAGCTCGCTCACTCTGAAGTGGAATTTACCCATCTGCAGAATGGGCATGATGCAGCTTGTCTTAAAATGTAGTTGTGAGATTTGAGAAAAAGATGTATAACATAGTGGCTTCCTGGGTAGCACTGGTGGTAAAGAATCCGCCTGCCAATACAGGAGATGTAAGAGACGTGGGTTTGATGCCTGGGTCGGTAAGATCCCCTGGAGGAGGAAATGGCAACCTCCTCCAGTATTCTTGACTGGAGAATCCCATGGACAGAAGAACTGTCCGTGGAGTTGCAAAGTCAGACACGACTTGATGCAACTTACCATGCATGTATGCACACAGTCATAGACAATGTGTAAATCAGTGGACATAACTGTTTTCCAATACAACTTTACACTAGGTTGGATTTGATCCTTGTCCAAAATTTGTTGACCTTGATCTAGAATATTCTGATCTGATTTTGGATATTTCCCTTGAAGAAACTGCTGTTCAGAGTAGCAAAGTACATCTTTATTTAAAATAAGGAGGTATGAGCTGTTGAAGAGGTGATCCAAGTTGTGAAACTCATGTTTTCAAATGAAGTGTCTAGAAAGCATCTCAGTAAGGTGACATAAAATAGTGCAGAGAAGTCTAGAGATGTTGAGTGGTAA